ACTCAGCCTCTGTAACAACCCATGGGCAACACAGTTCTCTCTGAAATGCCAATTTGCTCTCTAATGCACCACATCAGAAATAACCACAACTTCACACTTGGCTAAGCTTTGCTGCTTTTTCTAGCGGAGGAAATTTCCGTTCGTCCCCGGGCCTTGCTGAATCCACAGAAATTCTGCATTCTCCCCTTGTCATTGTGCAAATCTCATCTAGACACACAAATTGCCGGTATAACACATTACCAAAACGAAACACCCTGCAGACAAGGGGGTAGAGAGACAACTCCAGGAATAGACTTTGTGTATTTGTTATTTCACGTGCAAGGTTAAATCCAGGCTAATGGAAGAACCTGGGAATATTGAGTATCACTCAAAAGCTTGGCCTGAAAAATTGAAGCCTTTTACGGCTGGTAGATGTGTCACTTCTAAATCTATAAGAGCATATGAGCTTCAGCAAAATCTTAACACTTTGCAGAGTCTTAGTGCTCTTTACATCTTAGATCCCTTCTCCTCATGATAAAATATGATTATCGGTCCAGCTGAAAGACTTTTGCTATTTTATTGGCTCCGTTCTGACAGCAGTTGGAAGAACCAGAAAGTTTTTATATTTGCAAAGAGCGCTCTCTTGACACTCTGTTTAAAGAATAATTTGTCTCAGATGTTTATCACTTTCCAAATTCACACTTTAAAAATGTTTCTGAAACACGCACGCATACATGCATGGTGCTAATCCCTAACATCAAACAATGCCAAGTGCAGAAGCAAAACCAGCAAAGAAATTCTGGTATTCTAAAAGCAGAACCATTAAAAAGATGGCATATCTTTGAATACTTTATATGGCCAAGTATGATTAGACACACAAGGAATTTGTCTCTGGTGCATAAGCTCTCAGTGTATGTGCACAGCAACAGAATATTAATCATAATACCAATAAGAGGGAGGAATAAAAAGGATAATGAGTAACAGTGGCACAGTGGTTAGAGTGCAGTACTGCAGGCTACTTCTGCTGACTACCGGCTGCCTGCAATTTGGCAGTTCAAATCTCACCAGGCTCAAGGTTGACTCAGCCTTCCATCCTTCCGAGGTGGGTAAAATGAGGACCCAGATTGTTCGGGACATATGCTAACTCTGTAAACCACTTAGAGAGGGCTGTAAAGCACTGTAAAGTGGTATATATACTTACAGTAAGCGCTATTGCTATTGCTATAATATGAAGGATAAATAATAATACATCCATAATACATATTGTTAATGTGCATTAATTAATTAGTTAACATTAATAAATGTTCATTTAGGATTGCAAATTCAGGCAAGGATTTCAACACCCTTGAACCAGTTCTATGAAGGAGAGAGTTTGAGCCACTGATCAAATTAATGCTAAAGGCAGATTTTCTAACTTTACCGCCAATGCAATGCTATTCCAGCTGAGACCATCCATATGATGAGGATCTACATATCAAACGATTACTATCTGGGATTCCCAAAAAGTGGTTTTTCAAAAGGCAACTGGACTTCGTTTTTCTTTGAAGACATTTCACTCCTCTCCTCACCCAAGAAGCTTCTTCAGCTCTTTTTTCTTCTTTTTTAACAGAAGATTTTTGGATGAGAAGCGAGACTTCTTCAAAGAAAACCCAGAAAGTCCAGTTGCCTCTTGAAAAAGCACTTTTTGGGACAACCATGTTTGGGTTGACTGAGAATCTCCATAGACATCTACTACTTGGTATAGGCAAGTGCATTTGAGAAGGATGTCTCCTGCTTAAATTAGCTGAAGAACGAAAGATCTTTGAATCTACAACACTGTTGTACGCAGGTCATTTTCAGTATCTGTGAAAAACATTCCAAATACGTATCTCAAAAGCGTTCCATAGAACAGGACTCTCCAAACTTGGAAAGTTGTGAATGAGGAATTCTGGGAGTTGAAGTCCATGAGTCTTAAAATTGCCAAGTTTGGAGACCACTGCCATAAAGGATGAGTGAGCTGCACAGATTTATCTCAAAAAACAACAACAACCCTGCAGTAAAGGAATTGGTGACCCTAAAGACAATCAACATGTAACATTCATGCTCACCTGACCTAGAAATACTTTATATTGAATTATGGCATGTTTATAACCTACCTTTTCACAATTTACTTTGCCCTTGTTTTTATCCAGTGCTGTTTTGGGGTGTAACTTGGACTTACCTCACGAGTGACTCTGCCATTGTTGTCAAAATCGTAGAGAGTGAAGGTCCACTCTTGCCTGTTGTCTTCCTCAACAGATACATCACACTGCAATTCCTAGGGTACATGCAAACGTGTGTGTAAGATTAACCAAAACAAAATGCTAGTTGTTGTCATTGTCTAAAACAGGGGTCTCCAAACTTGGCAACTTTAAGCCTGGAGGACTTCATTCTCCCAGCAAAGCTGGCTGGGGAATTCTGGGAGTTGAAGTCTTCCAGGCTTAAAGTTGCCAAGGTTGGAGACCCCTGGTCTAAAACATCCTTTGTTGAAGATGTTTTTCCAAAGGAAACAAAAATCTCTAATGTTCCTTTTATTAGCAGGGATTGTTGAGAAAGTGGTTAGGCTGTGGTTTCGAAAGGCCCTCCAAGAAACAGATGATCTAGATCAGTAGTTCTCAACCTTCCTTTTCTACCACAGACTGCCTTTAAATACATTTGGTGACCATGTACCATGGCCACGGACCCCCCCAAGATTTAACTCAAGATTTAAAACACTGGACTTAACAAACAATTCACGGACCCTCTGTGATATTGCATCCCTGAGGGATCCACGGGCCTTGGGAGCTTCATCACTGGAAGCTTTCAAGAAGAGACTGGACTGCCATCTGTCAGAAATGGTGCAGGGTCTCCTGCTTGGGCAGGAGTGACGGGGTTGGACTAGATGACCTATAAACAAAGAACTGTCCTCGAAGACTATTCAAGGCACAATTCTGAGAGAGCATTGGCCATGCTTGTGGAGCCAATACTGGTATGATGCAACAAACCTTCTTTCTTTCCCTTAAAGTTTCTCAGAGGCTTTTGACACCATCCATTCTGGTGTCCTTCTGGACTACCTGTGGAGTTGGAGAGGAAGTGGACCTACTAAGTGGCAGTGGTTCTCCCCCTTTCTGTATGGCAGAAAGTAGACAGATCACATGACCTCGGGATGCTGCAACCATCCTAAATACAAAGTTGCTAAGGGGCTGGATTTTGATCATGTGACCACGAGGATGTCGTAACTGTGTGTGTGGGGGGGGAGTCACTTTTTTTCCAGTGCCATGATGACTTTGAACAGTCACTAAATGAACTGTGGTAAGTCAAAGACTTACCTGTAGTTCCTGAAAGGATGCATCGGTGTCCTTACACCTGGCTAAGGTACGCATTAAACTAGGGACTTTCCAGTTCAGTCTTTTGAGTTTCCCCAAGGAGGAAACTCAACTGTTTGCACAACTGACTCATCTCAATCCAAGGCCTCGCCACAAACTTTACAGGACCCTCAATTTCCTTCTGTGGAACTTGTGTGATCGTGATCGGGGAGTGGGGGAGGGGAGCGAAGGAAGGCATGGGGGCAATTAAAAGAAAAGCTGTTGCACTCAAGGAAAATAAACATTTCCAAATAGCTCTGGCAGGATGGAAGGCCTGAAATGCCTCCTTGATCTGCTGACTTGAAACCAATTCCCTACAGCAGTTAACAGTAAAGCCCCCAGTTTCCCGCTGAGTTCAAAGGCAGCCGTCTCCTGCTTGTTACAGGCCCCTGCTTGAAAGCTGCCAAAAGACCCCTACACAGTTGTGGAAGTGGAGGTTCAGGTTACGCCAACATGCTCAGCTTTCTTGAAAAGGGCCGCTTCCCGATTTAGACCTCTTGGCTGTCGTATTTCAGACTCCTGGGTGCCCTGTCATAAAATGAAAGCCTCTCCTGTGTGCTTAGCCTCTTGCTTGCACCAACTGAAAAGCACTGATTCTGAAAGGGGAGAGGGTGCATGCAGGGGCCCATCTGCACCCTTGACACAGGAGGAGATGAGACGCTTGTGTCTTGCACAATCAGGAGATAGAAATCAGCAAATGAAGTTGGTTGCACAGTCAAACACACGTACAGACTGGATTTGGCATTTTTATCTGCCTATCAGAGTCCTTCGCCAAGGACCTGGGATAGACAGAAGCTGTTCTTCGAGGGTGTTAAAAGGTATCATTGCAGGAGGTACGCCTGTTTGAGTCAGGCTGCCTTTTGCAATTGACTGGTGGTGGGTTTGTCAATGCCGATGGATGTTTGAGTGGTGCTTGAGATGCTTTGGGGTTGAAACAAGGCACCATTTATTATTATTGGTGCTTTCTTTTGCCACATTCATTTATACTTTTATTTGCAAATCTTTATATTTTGAGATTTTCTCCCGTTATTTCTCTTCTGTTTTGCTGTCTCCAAGTACTGCTGAGTTCAGTCTCCAGAGTTTTTTTTTTGTCTTTCTTATCAACAATTGTTGATATGAGGTGTTATGGAGGGAGGGAGGGAGGAAATGGGAGGAAGGAAGGAGAGAGAAGAGTATAGAAGAGGGAGGGAGGGAGGGAAGGAAGGAGAAAAAAAGAATAGAGGAGAGAGAGGGTGAAGGAAGAGAGGGAGGGAAGAAGATAGAAGAGTAGAGGGAAGAGAGAGAAGGAGGGAGAGAAGGGAGGAAGGAAGGACCCAATCTTAAAGCCATTCAAATCATAGAAACTTCATTGACTCTGTTAGATATCAATGAAGCTACATGAAAAGTCCCTATTTTTTCAAGGATCCCTCTCTGTTTGATTCACTAATTATATTTTGAAAGAGCAATCTAAGAGGCGTAGGGAGGGGGGGGAAGATGAAAGCCTATTCTTTTCCAACTTCAGTTATCAGTCCTGGAACAATCCTGGAACAATTTTGGCAAGATCACAGCCAACCTCTGAAGACCCTTAAACTGTCTACTTAGCTGAATTTATACCCGGTGAGAAGAATTAGATCATTTATGTACTTGTAATTGGCTCTGTTTACTCCCAGCGTTATCTGTACCTTTTACAGCAACAACACACTGATCACCTTTGGCAAGAAAATAAGAAAACAGAAACTCGGAGAAAGAAGCGTGATGACAGCCAGCAGAGAGAATCCATTTGCACCAGTTTGTGAGCGATCTGTGGTGCTTGGCTGGCACTCGTAGAACTACTGCACACACAAGAACACACCAGATAAAAAAAGGTTTCCCTTGAGCCAAGTTTGATCCCTACTGATTTCTTGGAATGAGCCATCCAGGGTTTTTTTCCCAATTTGTTTTTTTTTCCAGTTTCCCAGCCTAGTCCACACTCCTGATGGTCATGATCAAGGCTGGTCCTGCTTAGCTTTCCCAGATCAGCTAAGGTCAGCCGGTGCAGCAGGCCAATTGGGCATGAATCTAGAGCTTAATTCAGAACTGTAATTATTCCATGGCACATCACTGAGGAGATCTCACACAAACACACATGCCCCGCTATAGTTAAAAGGTTTAAATAATAAAGCTATTGAGACTCTAGAACGAGTACAGAGAAAAGCAACAAAGATAATTAGGGGGCTGGAGGATAAAACATATGAAGAAGGGTTGTTGGAACTGGGTATGTCCAGGGGTGGGATCCTAGCAGTTCGCACCTATTCACTAGAACCAGTTGTTAACATTCTAAGCAGTTCAGAGAACCGGTTTGTTAGAAGAAATTACTGGCCTAATCCTGTAAGGAAGGCAGGAAGGAAACATTCTGGTGTTGCTTACAGAAACTGCTTCTCCGTTAACCCTTATTACATTCTTGGCAGGACTAGACTTCCTGTCTTTGGAACTTCTCTGGAGTTTTTTTCCCCTCCTTTGCTGGTACTTTGCTTGTGTGGAGTGACCATTCAAAGTTACAATGGCATTGAAAAAAGTGACTTATGACTGTTTTTCACACTTATGACTGTTGCGGTATCCCCACAGTCATAAGAGGCCAGGCAAGGAGATGTGTGCCTCGATGTGAGTGCTTTGAGTTGGCCATGCCCAGTCAATAACATGACCACCAAGCTATGTCCACCCAGTCACATGACCACCAAGCCATGCCCACCACATAAGCCATGCCCACAGAATCCCACCCCTGGGTATGTCTAGTTTAAAGAAGGACTGGGGTGACATGATAGCAGTCTTCCAATATCTGAGGGGCTGCCACAAAGAAGAGGGAGTCAAGCTATTCTCCAAAGCACCTGAGGGTAGGACAAGAAGCAATGGATGGAAACTAATCAAGGAGAGAAGCAACCTAAATCTAAGGAGGAATTTTCTGACTTTGAAAACAATTAATCAGACTTGCCTCTGGAAGTTGTGGGTGCTGCATTACTGGAGGTTTTAAAGAAGAGACTAGACAGCCATTTGTCCAGAGTGATATAGGGCTTTCTGTTTGAGCAGGGGGTTGGATTAGAAGATCTCTATAGTCCCTCCCAATCTGTTATTCTTTTGGTTGCTCAAGATGCTTTTGTAAACAGAAAAGCTGGAATAATCCTCCTGGAATTGCAAAGTTTTTGAACGTTGAGCGAAAGCTCTTCTTGCCCCATGAATCAACTTGGATTCTTCTTCAAAGTCCCTTAATTAAGCAAAGCCAATCAACCACCCTCAAGAAGCAGACTGAGATATAATGGCAAACTTATCAATGGACACTTCACCTGCAGCTTGTAGTAGGAGTTGCTGCCTCGTTGTCAGTTTTGAAGCACGATGCAACGGCTAGCATGGTGGCCTCTTGTATGTACAGCAGGAGATGGAAGAAGAAAGCATGATTTTGGGGGGGCCCTCCAATTCTTTCCAAATCTGTCTTTTTCCAGGATATGGATCCAGGCAACCATTTCGCAACCACATACACACAAGATAATCCTCTCCAATATTTGTTATGCACTCCCAAATAGGGCACGCAGCTTGCAGTTCTCTGAACTCTTGAAGCCTCTTCTGTCTTCCAGGAAAACAGGGCACGCATTGAAGCAGGGTTGTGAAATGTTTCAAAGACAAAACATTTCAAGATTCCAAAACGCCGTTTCAAGTTCCAAAATGGGTTATTTCATCATTTCTGGAAGCGTTCTGATGTTGTTCTAACTCTTCTGGAAGGGTTCCAAGCACAAACCAGAGCTGTCCTAACCTCAAGAGCACTCCCCAAATGTTTGGAACTGAACCAGCATTGCTTCTTTTGAACGACGCTTGCCTTCGCAAAACCACTAATATGGAGCCGATTAGGAGTCAAATTGGATGGAAAGGACCATCTTTCAAGATCTAAGAGCAACTGGCTGCCCTAACAAAAGGCAACATTGCTTACCTCAAATTTTAGCTGCTTCTTGGCATTTGCGCGGCCATCGATTTCCTTTTCGGCTCTCTTTTCATCACCACTGCAAGCTCCCTCTGTCTTTTCCGGGGGCAGAGCAACTGGGTGCAAAAGAGAGAGGCGGAGTTAAGGAGAATGTTCTAGAAGTGGCATTGAGTTTAGCTGCGGGGATGCACAAAAAAATCTCAACTTTGTTGAGTGCAAAAGAGACAAGTTGAGCATTCTGAGCGTGAAACAAACTGCTTGGGTTTTTAGAGTTTTGTTTCAGGTTTGACATAGAGCACATTTTCCCCAACATTAAACCAAGTTTAGCTCTATTGAGAGATGCATTTTTCAGAGCAAAACCATTTGTACCTCAAAACATTCAAAATAGCTGCACAGAAAGTTTGTTCTTCTGAACATGTAATATAACCTATTTGTGGTTTCATGCTTAATTGTCTGATATGTCAGGGATCTCATTGTAAAACCCATGCTTGTCAACCATGTCAAATTTTGGCTTGATTTTCAACAACTTGGTACGACCATGAATTCTACATGGTTTTTTTTTTCCTAAAAAGACTATCTCCCAGGATCCTAACTTTGTCATATAAAATATAATTCAATTGAACAGGATACAACAATAATAGAGGACTCTGCCCTCTATTTAAAAGCTCTCTGAATGAAGAAAAATGAGCTTTTTAAAAAATCTGGAACATTTCTACTAAGAGATTGGGCTTGTTAGAATTTGCAGGCACACATTCATTTCTCGTGTAAAGCCAACAGAAGCCATCAACCAGTCTACCCATAAAAATAAATCAGTTTTTTTTTAAAAAAATAATATCTGGTTTGCACATAGAACTAAAAGCCACAATGGCTAGCTTCACACGAGCTACTTTATGGGTTAGTGTTATGCATCCATGCAAGTTATATCTTATATCTTATCCTTCATCAGCCTTAAATTAAATTTCTATAATGCAAGCAAGGCAAAGGAGACCAGAGACGAAGTCCATAAGAGAATAAACAGACTGGCTCTAAGCTCTGCAGCTGAATCTTTCTTCACATTCAGGGAGATAAATAAAACATTAAAGTGACACATTCTGGCAGGTAAAAACTGTGCTGTGACAAATTAGATCCCTCAAATATAAAAGTAAAGATTTTTTTCTTTAGTTAGTTAGTTAATCTATGCTGATTTGGGTTCTCATTGCTGGTGGAGAAGTGCTTGGATCTTTTTGTTCTCTTTTGGGCTGGTTGATTGTTTCTTTTGCACAATCTATAGATGTTGTTAATGTCTGTGGGTGTATAGAAATTCCCTGGCCTCTTTATTAAGTGCCTAGGCTGGTCACAACTACAGACACAAACTTTTCCATAAATGGAAAAGGAATCATCATGTGTGCAATATAGATCTATTTCTTCAAAAGCAGCCCCGATAACTTAAGATGGACAGCTATATATGAATCTTTTAAATAAATACATACATATATAAATAAACTGGCTGTCTAGGATAAAAGATCATTGCCTCAGTTAAATTGCTCTGTCACTGGAGTAGATAGTACAGGGGGGAAAATATCAAAGGATTGCATTTTTGGCTCGAGGCGAACAAATTTTGTTTTAACACGCGTTTAACTGAAATACAGAAAATTTAAGTGTTTTTAGGCTATATGCCCTTCAGCTGTCTGTCTCTGTGCATATGAAGCAGCACAGGACAATTAAAGGGATGTGTTCACATCTCATACGCACAATAGAAAAGCAAATGCGGTCTTTAAAGAAAAATTTGAACAATGGCCAGGAAGATTAAAATTGGCAGCGCGACAACCCAAGAAAAACCACAGGCAAAATGCTAAGAGTTCAGCTGCGCACTGTGTGACCTTCCACCCCAAATCCTTGCCAACAATATTACATTTGTCTAGGTAAGATTGCTATCCTAAATAAACAGGAGATCACCAAAGATCCTAGTTTTCATCTCAGAGCAGTTCAAAACAGATCCGTGGGCAAGATCACTTTTGGGGGAAAAAATATCTTATTTCCAGACACGTGCACACAGTGGACACAAATGAATTTGGGAGACCAAAACCCCAGGTTTGCAATTGCAAAATGACATTAATTTGATTCTTATGGGACGAACTATGCATTAGATGAACCAACAGAAAGGGAGCCTCTACTCAAGAGTTGAACTGTGGGGTCCTTGGTGCTCTCTGAGCTTTCTGATTTGCTTGCAGACATTTCATTACCCAACTAGGTGACATCATCAGTGCTGTACTGATCATCATCATCATCATCATCATCATCATCATCATCAAACACTGATGATGTCACCTAGTCAGATAATAAAACGTCTGCAAGCAAACTATCAAGTCCAGAGAGCACCAAGCACTCCACAGATTACATTGCTTTCAATATGCCCCAAATCCTGGATAAAATCCTTTGCAAGTATTGTTTCAGAATATTTTTTTTTAAATGCCCTCAAAACAACTCTTTCTAGATCATTAGACAGCGGTGTCTATTTTTCACTCTTTGGAATTCACTTCTACCCTTTTGCATGTCCATATGCACATGCCTGCACAGTCTATTCACTCCACATGTATGGTACATAGATGCCAAGGCAGGGTCAGCTTCTGAAGCAGCTGTTCAGCTTGGAAAAAGACACGGCTGCTTTAATGTTCCTTCCCTGCTTTCATTCTAAAGGTGCATTATAAAGTGTGTTGAAAACTCTGCCTTTAGTTTCAACAGGAGTTTGTTACCTGTCAATAGAGGCTGTTTCTGGGAAGTGCAATATTTGACAGTTGTTGACATTTCCTGGGTCCTGTCTCTAAGCAATTCAGTTAACCTGAATTGTATGCAATTCCTTATTATTATTATTAACTGAAAGGTGGTCTTCCTGTCTAGAAAAAACAGTGAGCTGAATGCCAGTGCTCAAAAGCATCCAGGACACATGTCGATGGAGATTCTGTGTCCTCCAGGTCATGGTTGTCCCAAAGGTGCTTTTTTTTTTCCACCCAAGAGGCAACTGGATTTTCTGGTTTTTCTTTGAAGACGTTTCTCTTCTTATCCAAGAAGCTTCTTCGGAAGGGCTGAAGAAGCTTCTTGGATGAGAAGCAAAATGTCTTCGAGGAAAAACAAAGAAAGTCCAGGTGCCTCTTGAAAAAGCACCTTGTCATGTTCCTCCTCTCTGTGGCAGCCCCTCAACTATTGGAAGACTGCTATCTTGTCTCCCGTGGTCCTTCTCTTCCCTAGACTAGCCAGGCCCAGTTCCTACAACTGTTCTTCATTATGTTTTGGTCTCCAGTCCCCTAATCATCCTGGTTGCTCTTCTCTGTACTTTTTCTAGAGCCTCAACATCTTTTTTATAGTATGGTGACCAAAACTTGATGCAGTACTCTAGGTGTGGCCTTACTAAGTTAGGTTGATGTATTTAAATTCTTGCTTAAGAAGCCTGTTTTTTGGAAGGGGGAGTTACTGAAACCAGTGTAAGAAAACCTAATCAGAAGCCACTTTTTCACTCCTGAGTCCAGAAAGGCAGGGGAGGAAAAAAAAATAACGAAACTATCATACTATCTAAAACCAAGGCTTTTTCTTCTCATTTTCAATTGAATGAGGATTGCAGCTTTGAAACTGCATCTCATTGGCTTCTTCACGGGGTCTCCTTTCTCTGTTGCTAATTAGAAAGTGTGTGCTGCCAACGCCACAGCACAATGTTCCTTTTTTATCCGAAACTGGAAATGCAACAAAGGGAACGGGGCTGAGAAATATTACATTTCAAACGCTGTGAAACCGTACTCTTGCATTAAAGAAGCTAATTGGTACAAGAATACTTCCAGATATATCTGTTGCCGAGGTTGGTTAATTAATAACATCTATTTGTTATTGGAGAAGCAGGCACAACAGAAGGGGTGTGGATAGAGAAAGACAGTTCCACGACTGTGTTCTTTTTAAAGCAAATTCAGAATAGAGATGGAAGGGACCTCGGAGGTCTTCTATTCCAGCCCCCTGCTCAAGTAGGAGATCTTATACCCATGATGGCGAACCTATGGCACGCATGCCACAGATGGCACACAGAGCCAATTGTGCGGGCAGGTGAGCCTCAGCCAAACTTACCTGCACTGTGCATGCGCGTGCCTTCCATCTGATTTTCGGCCCATTTGAGGCCCTTCTGGAGACTTGAGGGAAACCTCTGCAGACTTGGGAGGCCAAAAAAAAAAATACTAGAAGTGCTGAAACGGGCCTGTTTCAGCTGATAAAAAAGGAACATTGTGCTGTGGCGTTGGCAGCACATCACTGTCAGCTGATCCTAAACTAGCTGATTTCTGACCCTCAACTTTCTCAATCTGAATATTTTATTTGACTCGACGGTCAGAAGAAGACAAGTGGGATCATATAAGACATGAAGAATTAATAGCGTTTTCTCTGTTTGCACTGATCATTAATTCAACCGAAGCAATCCACCTTTTAACTTTAAATCTCTCTTTTTTTTTCTTCCCTTCCTTCAAACACGCTCAGGAAAAAAAAAAAAATTGACGGATATTGCCAAACCATATGGCAGCTCTAAACTGTTATTAGTTCACAATTATATCACTTCAATACTAGCTCAGGCACCTAGCTTAATTTTTTTGCACTAAATAGCTTGATGAATTTATGGAGCAGACAATCGTTTCTCTTTCTAATTAGTGGCCTGGCTGGTAACGTTTCATCCACAGCAGCAGCTAGATTAAATGCCATACTTAACCATCTTCACCTAACCTACTTTGATGTGCACTTTTCCAAGCTTCAGAATACCTTTTGGATGGAGATCAGACGGCATTAAACAGAATTACTAATTAATTAAGCAAAGTTAAATTCTAAACACTGTTTGTTCTGTTAGCCAAAAGCCTCAACAGAACAGACTTTCCCCATCTCTGCTGAGATCAAAGGATATGTATGTATGTATGCATGTGTATATATATTCCCTCTATCCTAGCCCTCCCCGCTCATCCTCCTCCTTCAAAAGTTAGCAAGTTCACTTTAGAAGGAACAGAAGATGAAAATGCTCTATCATTATGTACCAAAAAGCTTTTTTCTTTAAATTAAAAAAAAAACCACATGCTTCCAAATTACTTGTCTCATAAAAGAAGACACACAGCTTCTGTTG